TGATCACTTCAATAATCGATTCATCACGATTAATCATTACAGCCAATATTCACTCCTTTACCAGCAACTATGGTTATTAACCTGTAATAACCATAGTTACAGTCTGATAAACATTCATTCAAATCTAATAACATGAATATTAACATGAATAACACATTTATTAACATGAAATTACTGTAACTAGCAATATTTTCACTTATCTAATTTTATATATTTTTATAAATGTAGTTACTGACATGCATAGTCATTAACGTCTAGTTAATACCATTTTTAAAATTTTATAATTCTTAAAAAATATTAGGATTAATAACAGTAAAAAACAGAGTTCAATTACCACAGCAATTAGAATCAGTTAACCTTATTTGCAAATGCAGCTTTAAAGGCAGAAATATGTATTTTTTCAGGACAGGTACCTTGAGGAAGGGGATGAGGTAGGGCTGTGGGGAGGACTTCAGCTCAGCCTGCAGCCGAGACGTGAACTCCTCGGGTTCGATCTTTGCGTCCTGAAAAGATGTTAGAGCGCAAAGACGTGAAGATGTGAAATATAACGGCACAAAGACAAAGTGTTCAGGGATGTAACAGACGGACACATTCAAGTTTTAGGAAATGAAGTCACAGGAACAAAAAGCAAGAGGATAAAAGAGGACACCATGAAGACACGAACTGGACCTGAGGAGCATCTGGATGCAGCAGAGCTGGGCAACATGGCTTAAAAACAATATCTGATTTTTTTTTTTAAACCATTTTTTTCTTGCTTTCTTTTCTCGGGAAGGAATTACAAGTAGTGTTTATTATTTCAATCATCCCTTCTGTCAGTTGTACGATGGAGTAGAAGCATCAGGAAAAGGATCTTAGCAGCTTACAAGCAGGTCCTGAACGAGGGTCTTCACATTCTTGGACGTATCGGGAGACGGGGAGTTATGCGACGCCAGCTTGATGAGCGTGGACAAGAAGTTCTTGCATTTCTTCACGTTTTCCTGCATTTCCTGTTGGGCACAAATACGTGTGAAAAACAAAGCAAGAGCGGGAAGCCGGAAACGTTAGAAAATGATGGGAGCCAACCTGCGACACCACGGTGACCCTGGCGCCAGGCGGGGCAGCGGGAGGGGGCGTGGCGCCGCCACCGGGTAGCGGTGCAGGCTTGGCGGCGGGCGTCACCCCCGCCGTGATCACCGTGGAGGTTTTCTGAGGCGGCGGCATCTTCACGGCTCCGGCAGCAGGAACAGCGAGGGGCTTCAGGAACAGAGAGGCATGATTAGATCCAACCAATCGAACTGCATGGCTCAAAGCATATTCATGTGTTAGAATGGCCCAGTCAAAGTCCTAACTAAATCCACTGGAACTAAGGACTAAGCAGATGTTATTAGTTAACTGATTGAAACTCATTTTAATCTAATAAAACATTAATCGATAATTAATGGTAAGTTTATTAATTGCTTGCTATCCTAGTCTGTTTTATGTCGGGCTATGATCTGTCTTCACCTGTTCCACCTCTCAGCAGGATAACTTACCTGAACAGAGGTGGTGGAAGGAGACTGGACTATTCTGGTGGGAGCGGGTGCAGCCAGCCGGACCGTCTGGGGGGCTCCGGGCACCTGCAGACGATTTATGGTTTGTTTCAGAATAAAAATCACCTGATTCTGATTTTACTGAAATTACAGATTAACTCCAGAATTTATGAAGAAGATCTTCGTCAAGTTCTGATGGTCTCAAACTCACCGTGGTGGCGGTGCTGACCCGGATAGTCGATGTTGTCAGCGGTGTTGCGGGTCTCTGGGTGACCACTGTCTGACTCTGCTGCAGCTTGGCCTGGGCCTGGGCCAGAGCCTGCTGAGGAACCAAGACCAGCTGACCCGTCTCGGTCCGGACCAGAACCATGCCTGCAGGAGAAGGATCAAAGCAAGTGATCGAAGAGGTTCTACAGACTGAATGAAACAGAACAGCTGAGCTGGATGGAAATCTGAACCAACTAGACAGACTGGAGAATTGAGAACAAATTAGATCAAATATTTAGAGTTTGTTTTTGTGCTCAGCTTTAGGATGAAACATGAAAAACTTCAGGCAGACTAAACCTGAAAATCTGGGAAAAATTAACGAGAATTCAAAGAATTTCCAGTTTGAGATAAAATGATTAGAACTGAAACAGTTAATCAGATTAATCATGATGAATCCCTTATTGAAATAGTCAAGTAATTTTGTAATCGATTAATTGTTAACTGGAGTATACAATCTCAAAAAAGGATATTTGCTGAAAGAACAGCAGTCAGAGCAGCAATTAAACAAAAACTGTTCAAATAAATACATACATTTTGCATTTAAGATGAAATAAAAAATAAAACTTTGTACATATGTTCCACCCAAAACTAAAGTGTCTTAGTTTTAGTTTCACCTAGTTCAAATTCTGTGGAAAAAAAAATCTTCTTTTAATCATGTTTTGTTATCCGATTATTACTACACTGCAAAAAAACAAAAATCTTACCACGTATTTCTGTCTAGTTTCTAGTGCAAATATTTTAATACATGTGAACTAAAACAAAAATAACTTACAAGCAACTTTTCAGAAAGATACAGAAGCTTGTCTTAAGTAAATAATTCCTAAATATTAAGTTCAAAAACAGTAAATGTTAAACTTAGGGCTTCAACTAACATTGATTTTAGCAATCGATTGTTCTGACGATTAATTGGATAAAAAAATCGGCATATTCTGCAAATTTTTTATTTAGCCACTTACATCTTTTGTACGATTTTATAAGTACGTTAAAATAATTCAATTCCTTTCTTAAATAATAAAATAAACATTACTTAAAATGCAACAACAAAGCATTTCTTTAGCATACGCTTGATCATTTGTAGCAAAAGATGCATCTGCAGCTAAAATATACTTCCAACATCAACATGAAGAGTCCTTGCTGCCCAACTTCACATCAGAACAGTGCAAGACTGAACTGTTGATCAGTTTTTTATTAACAGATTAATAACTAAACCAAAAGTTATTAAAAATTATTTTATCATTATTTTACAGTATTTAACCAGGAGAAGCTAAACTATGTAAATATGTGTAAAACATATTTACAGACAGTGACCAGAGATTGTTCTTATATGCAATATATATATTTTGTACAGTTTTAATTACTTAGAATATGTTGTTCTGATTGAAACTAAAGACTCCAGATGATCCAGAGTCTGTATACTCCATAAAGTCTTAATCAATTACTAAATTAGTTGTCAAATATTTCAAAAAATGTTTTATCCCCATTAATCGTTTTAGCCCTTGTTCCACTTTCAGATGTTTTCACTTATAGAAAAATGTTCCATCTGTCAGTGGATCAAGTACCTTTTCAACCAATATTAAGGACTTATTTACTTAAAACTGTTCCACTTGATAAGAAGAAGTTTTTTCCAGTGCAGCTAAGTCAGAGCGTTTGGATCTTTGAATTGTCCCTCCAGAACCAGGAGCCACCATCACAGGACCGATCATAAGCAGGTGTGTGTTCTCACCTGGAGGGATGGTGAAGCCGGGCGGCAGCTGGATGGTTGTCTGCTGCTGAGGCCGGACAGCCAGGGGGGTCTGCGGGGCAGCCGGCCGGGTTGTGGCGGTCACCAGCTGGGGTCTCTGCGGCTGGATGGAGGTGGCCGCCCCAACAGCAGCACCGGGCGGCCTCACCCCGGTCTGAGCCACTCCGTTGATGGCCGGCTTGGCTGCTGCGAGCGGTGTGCTGGATCCGGTCTGGGTCTGGATGATGGAGGCCTGGGCTGCAGCCGGAGCCGGAGCCGGGGTGCTGGTCACCAGCATCTTGGTGTGCATTAGAGGGTTGTTGTGGTTCAGGACCTGAGCGGCTGATAGGGAGGCTGAACCCTTCGGGTCCAAACCGTTCTGGGCGGTGCTGATCACGGGGCTGGGGAGCCCCTGTAGGGTCACAGCAGGGGAGCCCGCCGGGGATTGAGGAGCAGGGAGTCCGGGTTGTGAAGCCAGGGTGGCGCCGGGTGGAGGGGCACCGGGTGAGCCCTCCACTTTCCCGGCTCCGGTGCTGCCGTTCAGGGGCTGTAAGCTGGGGGAAGAGGTCCGGATTGCCTCCACCGGGCTGGGAGCCAGGGCAGCAGCCCGGGGGAAGCTAGCAGCGGGCTGGCTGCTCAGAGTTACCGGTACGGGTAAAGCGGTCAAAGAGGGCGCTCCTGCCGCTTGCAAACCGGTTCCGGTGTTTCTTATTGCCCCGGCGGTAACAGAGGAGGGAACGGTTTGCCCGGACAGAGGCTGGTTGGCGCCCGGTTCCCGGGTCGACCCCGCGGTTTGGTGCCCTTGTTGAGGCTCCGAAGACCCCGCTTTCCCTGAGAGGCGGCTAGCCGCCGCCACGTCCCGCTTCCCGTCCGGATCAGAAGCCGCGGGGAGGTTTCTGTCGCCCAGCTGGGACTCCAGGGAGCCCACCAGGTCGCTGACCGCCTTCTCGTCCACCTCGGTGGACAGCATGTCCTCCAGCGGGTCGGGGGCTCCCGCCATCTTTGATGCTTCGCTGTTGTGCAAATCGTTTTTTAGAATGTACGCATGCGCCGAGGATCCGGCTGCATTCGGAGAAAAGATCTAGATGGATCAAAGATCTAGATATGCCAAATGTTTCGAGAACTGTGGGAAAAGCAGTTCCAAAGCAACAAAATTACACCTTTTTAATTATTTAGAGTCCAAAATAAAACAGAAGATATCCCAATAAATGTATATAATAATAATAATAATAATAAATAATTTGAAATAGTAGAAATGTCGCTTATTTTTAATAGGCCTAATATAAGATCAAAAACTTAACCTAAGCGGTTTGTTTCTAGTCTTTTGTAGATAATTAACAGTTAGCAGATGAATGAGCCATTGTATTGTTTATTATACGCCAGTAAATATAAATGGTTTTTAGGTTTTTACTCGCATTTCATAATGCGTATGTTCGGAAAAAAAAAAAACTCAATACACTTCTATTCATCATAGATCTATGATTCACGGCGCCACGAAGTCACGCGATACTCCAAATCCCGTTATCCCCCGCGCTCAGAGCTGTGCCAATGGAGGTGGAGGCGGCCATGTTGTAGCTGCAAAGCGGCGTCAGCGTCAGAGGGAATCGAATCGAAACACACTGGGAGAGTCCCCCCTCAATCCCTCTCTGCTGACCGCGCGGCTCGGAGGCATCGGCCCCTTCTTATTCCTGTTCCCAGAGCCGAGAAGCGGGAGCCACCATGAGCGGCGGGACGCCTTATCTGGGTAGTAAGATCAGCCTGATCTCCAAGGCCGAGATTCGCTATGAAGGGATCCTGTACACCATCGACACCGAGAACTCCACCGTGGCCCTTGCTAAAGGTAAGAGTTTTACCTGGGCTCAAGGTAAGAGGTTCCTCGAGGCTAAAGGTGAAGTGGAGGCGGTGTGTGGGTGTTTAACGGAAACTTAAGCTAGCTAACTGCTGCGGCTGAAGTTAGCTTGTTATTGAGAGCCTTTCAGTTTAAAGGTGTATGCTGTTGTTTTTTAAGACATATTAACTATTAAAGATTAGCTCTAATCTGAACACTAATAACACATTTTTCAACGTATTTTTTCATTTAGGAAGCCTTTATTTTATATATCCAAACAAAACTGTTCAACTGCAGTCCCTTTTTGACCTTTAGTTCATAATGTAAATAAGCCTGTCTTATTTTCATTATGACAGACTTATGTCATAATGAGCATGGTACTGCGGCACCATGCAGTATTTTCCAGAATTAGATGTTAATAGTTCTAATATTTTCGAAATTTAGCAAAGTCTTAGCTCTTCAGCAGGACAGAGTTCTTAAAATATGGAGAATAGCCCTTGAAGTGCTGATTCAGAAAAGGTGAATCAGACACTAACTTCACCATGCCCCTGAAGAAATAAACAGAGGGATCCAGATAACTCTGGACCTGGCCTCTAATTGACTATAAAGGGAAATTACACGGAATAATTAATGTAAACTCCAGTGATTATTTTAAAAACTATCAAAATTATTAAAAAATGAATTCAGTCATCAAATTTCTAATAAAATAGTTTCAAAGCAAGATGCTGATTAATTTTAATAGTTCTTGCTTTTTACAGGATATTTTTATTTAATTTGAGCCAACTAATCAGTTTTGGGTAAACTGATCTCGATTTTAAACAACTTTGAAATTGTGGAAACAGAAGCAAACATCTGATTTTGGAGCATCTTCAGCTGGATTGTTGTGCAGGAAGGACGCCCTCTGACTTCTGAGATTTATAAACTGTACATCAAAATAGGACAAAATCCAGCCTGTCACCAGACTGACCCACTGGCTTAGCTGTAAATCAGGGTTCACACATAATCAGTTTGAGTCGAGAGATTTAAGTGAAATGCGGCTTTTTCTGCTTGTTACTTATACCAGAATATGATTGAAATGATGCTTCATTCTGTTAAAGAAACTTAAAATCATCTGAGAGGCACAACAGAATTTAACTCCAGTAAAAACAATAACTCCAGACGTGTTTCTGACTTCCAGGACTTGCATTGTTAAAGATGAGTGACATCAGCTGATGTTAATCCATAAATCTCTTATGTTTAAGTGTCCGGAGCTTGTTGAGGAAAATCCCACTTTGCTGCTGTGTTTGTGCCCTGCGTGGTTTTTCATAATAAAAGTCTTTTCTGAAAGTAGGTAGAAAGGCTTTTAATTTGCCATGTTTAGCGCTGCTGGAAGTTCTTTTTTTTTTTTTTTTTTCTTTTTCTCGAAGTTAGGCCTCACTTTTTTTCCCAAAATGTAAAAATCTTTAGCTGTTTTTTTCCCGGATCCAAAGGGAAACTGAGATTTTGGGGACGCAAAACGCTGCTGTGCTTTTTTGTTTGATTTTTGCAGGTTTCAGATTGGAAAATTTTGAACCTCAGTTATTTATGTAAACATGGAAAACGCTAACCTATTAGCCTAACCTCTAACCTGACCTATAACCCCAAAAGCACACATGACAACAATGGCGACCTACATGTTTATGGTTCTACTATAAATTAAATCATAACACCTTATAAAAACAACTTTTTAGTTACTAATGAGAATTATATTTTGTTTGCAACTTTTCCTGTTAGTTTAAAGTTTCAGCCTGAATGTGGAGTTGTTGGTTTTTTTGTTTTTCTTTGCCACACCTCCTAACTGTCAAACTGTGATTCAGACACTGAGTTTTCTTTGCCTCAGTCCGCTCCTTTGGTACCGAGGATCGCCCGACGGACCGGCCCATTCCTCCGCGAGACGACATCTTTGAGTACATCATCTTCAGGGGCAGCGACATCAAGGACCTGACGGTGTGTGAGCCGCCCAAACCGACGTGCTCACTCCCCCAGGACCCGGCCATCGTCCAGGTATTTCTGTTCTTATGTCGCTGAGTGTCACTGGATTTTACTCAAATTCTCTCAGAGGCTTTTTGTTCTAATTAATAATGCAATAATTTTATAGCAAATTATTTTTTTGTCCTGCTTGGCAATAAATTAAACATGCAATAGTTTAATGACAAAAAGCAGAAATAATTATACAGTAAGTCGGGGAAAAAGGTCCCACATGTTTCCTTTATGAAGACAAAAAGTCACAATGAAATGAAACCAAACTATGATGAAAAACCAAAAACTACTCTAACCCTGGTTCTGACCCAGTTTCATGATCTCCTGACCCTGTGCGTTTCTTCTTCTGCAGTCCTCCATCAGCACCAGCTCCTCCTCAGCGGCGGCCTCGGCTCCGACTCCCTTCCAGTCCTCTGGCTCCTACGGCCTTTTCAACAGAGCTCCGGCTCCCGCCTACAACCAGTTCAGCACCAGCCCACTGGTCTCGCCCCAGTTTGGACCCGTTGGTGTGGGTAAGTTGGGGCGGTGGGGAGGTTCTGCTTCAGGGCGGCATGATATCCAAGGGTTCAGAGTCTGTGAGTGGTTCTGGATCACGTTCTTCATGCCACAGGAAGTGAGGAGGCGTCGGGTCAGAGGCGTCGGTGTGAGGCCTTCGCCGCTTCCTCGACATGTTTTGATGATTTTAGATTCAGGAGAAAGTTGATTTAATGGGAGCAAAGGTTTGATAGATAAACTCATGTAGTCTGTGATTATTTCTTCAAAGCAGACATGTTGCACAATCGTTTCAAAATCCTGCTAATGATGATGATGATAAGTTGATACTGATGAAGTGCGTCTTACTTTTTTAAAAGCAATATGAAACTTTCAGCATTCCTCATTTTCATTTTTTATACTTTTTCCTGTAGAAGTAGTTAAAAAATTACTAATATCACAACTTTATTTTGGTAATATTATGATTTTATTCTCCTGTTATTTTGACTTTCTTTTCATACGTCTTTTTTTCTCGTATTATTACAACTTTATTCTCACATCAGTATGATTTTTATTTTCTCCTATTATTTTGTTCTCGTAATATTATGAGAACTTTTCTCTCATATTATGACAAAAAAATTTTTTTGCAATGTTATGACTTTATTCTTGTCATTTTTCTTCTGGCCCTAATACTCCATCCTACTTTCTGTTGTTGATCCGGTTCTATTTTTTTTACTATAAAAAGATCCAGAATCTTTTTTTTATTTTATTTTATTTTATTTTTTTTATTAAAGCTTGAGAACGTTCTCTTGGTGCGCCCCCTGCAGGACATTCCTGTAACATCACCTTTTACTTTGCGTCCAGTTGGTTCTGTTCATCTGCAGCTTTCCGAGTCTCGACTCCAAACTCAGAATAATTCTTTAGTCCCAGTATCAGCTGGACCCAAACTGGCATCTGTGTGTAAAGCAGAAGATCTTGATGGCTGGGAGAGTTTCCTCCTAACCTCCAGGTCAAAGTGTTCAGATTAGATCAGTGACATCAGATGGATGCATTATCGGTTCTGTTTAGGCACTAACTGGGTTCGTGTCGACTCAGCTCCAGCTCTCGGTGTGTGTGGTCGGTTGGTGTTCTGGTATCGATACGCCCCAGATGTTCTGCAGATGTTGGTCCATCAGTCTGGAGCAGAGTGTGTTTCCAGGTCTCAGTTCTGTTGCTGTTCTCCCACACAGGGCGGTCCACAGTCTTCTTTATGAACTCCAGTCTGAGCGGTTCTGACTTGCGCTCTGTCGGGACTTTAACTGAAGGTAAAGACCAGCAGGAAGTGAACTCCCAGATCGGTACCAGTGGTGTGTAGAGGGTGATGGTTCATCCTGTCCTCGGGTGTTTTCCTGTCCTGCTCATGTTGACCCACAAACACTCTGCTGGTGTTTTCCTGCTGCAGCAAATATTAACCTGCTTCTGACTTTTCACTCTTCACTGCTTCACCTTTTCTTTCTGCAGAAATTCAGCTGAAACAAACTGCAGACAGGAAGCTAACAAACTCCATAACTCTTTGCTTCCAGGATCAGTTGTTCTCTAGGTTTATGAGAAAATGACTGAAATTCACAAATATCAAATTTTATATTTTTCTTGCACTGTAAAATCACCAGATCTTACCATATAGTTTCTAGTGTAAATATTTTGGTACTCTTTAAATGAGGCAAAACTAACTTACAAGTAACTTTTCATCAAAATATAGGAGCTTGTTTTAAGTCAATAATTCCTTAATACTGATTTAAAAAGTCCTGGTTCCATATTTCACTTATTACACGGGGAAAATGTGTTATTTTTAAAATAACACATTTATTATGGAATGTATTATTCCAATGAAACTAGTATTTTTCATCAATATTAAGGAATTATTGACTTAAAACAAGCTCCTATGTCTTGATTAAAAATTACATGTAAGTTAGTTTAGTCCTTTTTCAAGCGTAAGAAGATATTTTCTCTAGAAACTAGACAAAATGCTTAAGATTTTATGTTTCTTCAGTGTTGTTCTGTTTAACCTACAGGGCGATCCGGTCTCTGGAGTTACTAATCAATCTTTAATTTGTCTCTCTCCTCGCCGGTTCTCCTCAGGCTGCAGCAGTCCCAGTCTGGAAGCTCTCAGGAAGAGTCCCACCCTGGATCAGGTGAGCCAGAGAGGCCCGTCTGTCCCGGCGTCCACCGCCACGGCTCCAGCCCCCGGTCTGGGACGGAGAAGCCCGGCACACGGCCGCGCCGCGCCGGCGGGTCCGTCTCAGAGCAGCCAGAAGGCCCAGCAGCAGGACGGAGTGGACAATCTGAGAGGTGAGAACCTCAGTTTCTGAAGATAAACATAGAGGGTAACCAGGGACCATGATACTGCCAGAGTCAGTCTGCCAAATAAAAACAAGCTCAGGGATCCAATCTGAACCTTGTAAACAAAATAGTTTGGGTCTGTTGGACAGAAAGCTGCAGACTGCTGCTCAAGTTCGTCATGGAAACAGATTAAAGGGGCAATATTATGTATTTTCCATCCACATTTGTAGCACAATCAAGTAACAATGTTACCTTCAGTTGTTATAAAAATGCTGACTATATAAAAGACAACTTAAAAGAAATTTGACGCCCTGAATTTGGGCCTCTGTCTCTTTAAAACTCCTGCTCTTTTTAAAACTCCACCTTCAGGAAGTCATCATCACATCACTCCTCCTACTAACCCTTTAACAACGTTTTTACCAGCGTTGCATTGAGAAGTAGCTCCTATAATGAGCTCACCCGGTGTTTGCTAATTACTGCTGGCTAGTCCGAAGGAGCGGAGTTGGAGAAGGCTCCTCTGTGAGGTGGAAGCTTGGAAACTGCAGCACGGAGTTTAGTGACGCAGCTGCTCCCTGGTCGCTGTGTGGAGACTCAAACTGTGTTGCTGTTCCAGGATCAGACGTCCAGAGCAGAGCTGAGGGCGATCAGGCGCGAGGAGAAGGCAGGGAGCCCAGTAAACGCTCCACAGGTCAAAGCCTTGTCCCCTCTGCAGCCATCCTGCATGCCCTCCATCTGTCTATTCGACTTCATCTCCACAGGGATGATGGAGACTCTGCATCTCCTCCATCATTCTGTCACTAAGGGTGTTTTCACACCTGACAGTCCGGTAGACTCTGTTAGATTGGAGACCAAAATTGCAATATTTGTTACATTTTCAACTGCTGCAGTTCTTTCATACTGCACTGTCAGACGATCCAAACATTTTGAAAAACCAGTTCCCCTCCTCACCTGTGGGGGGCGCTGCACTGAAGGATACGACATGAAAACCTCAGAAGAAGACACTGAGCACAACTTCCTTCTTCACGAAATGTAAAGAGAAACGGAGTGGCGTCAGATTTTAGCATTTGTAGGATTTCTCTCTTGTCTTTGGTAAAAGACGACGAGTCATTTCTTTAGACTCATGTGTTTTGGTTGCTTTTACCCAGAATGCCCTGCGCTGTAGTCCACTTCCTTTTCCGGTTCGTTTGCCGTTCACATATGCATTCAAACCTCTTCAAGAAACATCAACTTTTAGATAGTTTTTTTTATTCGTTTTCAGTAGTTTTTACATGATCATCCCAGATGACAATGAGTTCTGTTTATTTTCAGATAACATATTATGACTTAATTTCCAGAAATTACTGTTTTTATTACACCCCACTTTTAATTTTAAGAAAATATGCAACATTTACATTTTTTTGATTTGGTTAAATTTGATATTAATCACATTAAATTTTATTTTATTCCAACAGTTCTTATGTTTGTTTTTGTCTTTGGTCTTTCTCTTGTCAGAAACTTTTCCATTTCTTGCCTGCTATGCTAGCTGGAAGAGCAAAGATGAATTTGACTGGCAGCCAGTTTGAAAATAAGCATCGGAAATATTTAAATTATTTTTACTTACATTTTATAAAAGAAAAAAAAACATGATTGAATAACAAATACATTTCAAATAAAAATGATGGGATTCAGTTTTGTTATTTTTTTTTTCTTCTCTCCAACTTTTTGAGACCCCCTCTTTGAAACCTTCTAATCCAGAGTTGGATTAAAGCAGATTAAGCAGGACTGGTGTGAATGCATCCTAACTCCTGCAGCTCTTCATCCTCACCTTCTGTTCTACGGCTCCATCTCTGCATCTCCTCCATTTGTTCCGTTTCTCTTCTTCCTCTCGGCTGACGCTGCGCTTCTGTCTCTCTCCAGCAGGCGGCGGCGGCACGGCGAACCGGCGCGGCCGCGGGGGCGGCCATCACGGCAGGGGCCGCTTCAACGTGCGCCGAGACGGACCCATGAAGTTCGAGAAGGACTTTGACTTTGAGAGCGCCAACGCCCAGTTCAACAAGGAGGAGATCGAGAAGGAGTTCCAGAGCAAGCTGAAGCTGAAAGGTTGGCGTTAACTGGTTATACTGGGAAATCTGAGGGAAGCATCACTGGGATGTAAAACGGAACACATCTCTTTAATTAAAGGAAATAGAAACAACCTGTAGGTTTTAGTTTTTGCAGCTAAACTGTGATTCTTTTGTCTCTCAGATGAGAAGTCGGAGAAAGCGCTGAATGGAGAGGATAAGGGAGACTCTGGAGTGGAAACCCAGAACAGTGAAGGCAACAACGAAGACGAGAGCGACCCGCTGGGCCCAAACTGCTACTACGACAAGTCCAAGTCGTTCTTCGACAACATCTCCTGTGACGACACGAGGTACGGAGCTGGTTCTGAATCCTGGAGGCAGACTGGTAGACGATACACAACGCAGCATGTGAACCGATTCCTGAACAGATCTGAACATGTAAACTGATTCC